GCCCAATAGCTCAGGCTTATGCAAAACATTTCGAAGAGGGTAAGTGGTTAATACACATATAGGATGACATTGAAAATATGGTTTTAACTTTCAAGATGTGCTTATCAATGCAAGTGCTAATTTTTCTAAGTGAAGGTACCTAGTTTCAGCATCTCCCAGAGTTCGGCTTACGTAATAAACAGGAAATTGCGTACCTTATTCTTATCAAACTAGTACCCCACTTACCGCTATCTCGGACACTACCAAGTATAGATAAAGCCTTTTGTGTACCTTCGGGGTGTGAATCAAAGGCGGGCTCGACAGATATCGCTTTAATTCTTCTAAGGCTTGCTGACATTCCGGGGTCCACGCAAAATCTTTTTTCTTTTTGAGCAAAGAAAGAAATGGTGACTCCGATCCGACGACCCCAAAATGAATCGACCCAAGGCAGTTATTCGCCCCGTTAGTCTTTGCACGGCCTTCACACTATCCACAATCGTGATATCCTCGATAGCCTTGATCTTATCGGGGTTGATTTTGATACCCCGATTTGACACCATGAAGCCGAGGAACTTAGAGCCAACCCCAAAGGCACATTTCTCCGGGTTAAGCTTCATGTTGTATCTCCTCATGATTGCAAATGTTTCTTGAAAATGAACTAAATGGTCCTTTGCGCGTAGGGACTTAACCAACATATCATCAATATAGACTTCCATTATTTTACCTATTTGTTCTTCGACCATTTTGTTAACTAGGCCATGGTATATAGCTCCTGCATTTTTTAGCCCGAAGGGCATTACGTTGTAACAATAAGTTCCAAATTTAGTAATAAACGAAGTCTTTTCCTAGTCCTCCGGGTTCATCTGAATTCGATTGTACCCGGAGTAGGCATCGAGAAAAGTTAGGGTCTCATGGTCAGTTGTGGCGTTGATCATTCGATCGATGTTTGGCAATGGGAAAGAATCTTTCGGACACGCCTTGTGTAGGTCCTTATAGTCCATACACATTCTAAGCTTGTTTCTTTTTTTAGGAACTACAACTACGTTGGCTAACCGTTCGGGGTAGTTTACCTCCTGAATGGATCCTATTTTAAGAAGTTTGGTTACCTCGTCTTTTATAAAGGCATGTATTACCTCGGACTGAGGCCTCCTCTTCTGCTTCATCGGTTTGAACCTAGGATCTGTGCTTAGCGGATGCGTGGTGATTTCCGGTGGGATCCCTGTCATATCTAAGCGGGACCAAGAAAAGCAATCCATATTATCAATGAGAAATTGAATGAGTTTTTTCCTAAGTTCGGGGGTCAAACCCATTCCCAGGTATACCTTTCTCTCGGGCAAATATTCGATAAGTATGATATGCTCCAGTTCCCCGACAGTTGACTTGGTTGCATCGGACTCTTCGGGAACGACGAAGGTTCGAGGAGTAAGGAAGTCCTCTTTTTCGTCCTCGGTTACCTGTTGTTCCAACTCCGTCGAGGCTAGGGGCTGTGATTGCTATTTAGCCGCCTGCTTTCCTTTGGTGCTCGATTTCTCCAAGGTCAATGGCTCTGGTATCGGCACCACTTCCTTGATTGCAAACATCTCTTTTGCCACATGTTGCTCTCCATAGACTAGCACTCCTTCCTCCATTGGGAATTTCATCATTTGGTGGAGAGTTAAAGGCACTGCCCTCATGTTGTGTATCCATGGTCTCCCGAGGAGCGCATTATACCTCATGTCGCCTTCGATGACATGGAATCTAGTATTTTGTATAGTCTCGGCTACATTTACTGGCAGGACAATCTCTCCCTTTGTTGTTTCGCTTGCCATGTTGAAGCCCTTCAGAACCCGGGATGCAGGTACAATCTGATCTTCTAGGTTGAGTTATTCCACGACCCTCGATCTGATTATGTTTGCCGAGCTACCTAGATCCACTAAAACACGTTTAACTTGAATTTTATTCAAAAGGATAGAGATTACCAGGGCGTCGTTGTGACGCTGAAATATGCCTTCTGCTTTCTCGTCACAAAATGACAAGACGTCCTCCGGCACATAGCTTCGAGTCCTCTGGTGATTGATACTTTGGTGCATTTGAACACAGGTCGTTGAGGGGTATCGACTCCGCCAATGATCATGTGGATTACATTTTCTGGTTCTTCTTGTTCATTTTTCCTTGCATCTCTCTCCCTAAAGTGATTCTTAGCCCGATCACTTAGGAATTCTCGGAGATGGCCCTCATTGAACAAATGAGCTACTTCTTCCCTTAGCTGTCTGCAATCTTCAGTTCAATGACCATGTGTGCCATGATACTTGCACATCAAGTTCGGGTTTCTTTGAGAAGGATCGGTCTATATTGGTCTGGGCCACTTGGTGTCTTTGATTCTCCCAATAGCTGAGACAATCCCCGATGCATCTATGCTGAAGTTGTACTCTGATAATCGGGGAGCCTCTGCGGGGTCGGTATGTTTATTGAACCCGCTCTTAGTCATGAGTCCCCGAGAGCTTTGACATCGATCATTTCTGCAATCATTCTGAGGAGTGTTACGGCTCGGGCCGCTGTTTCTTCGATCGGCATATGGCTGATACCTTTCTTTATTGAATCTCGAATCCTGATTTGTACCCATCGGGGGCTTGGCCGCCAACCTGTTAGGGTGAACTAAATCCGAGGGGGTCCCAACTGATCGTCCTCAACCCTGATTTTTTATTGGTAACGGTTGTGCACATCTTACCATGTCACAGCTGGATACTCGATCAAGTTCTATTTTAATTGCCGAGACGCGATCGAGCTCCTTTCATTCAACCCCTGCATGAAAGCTTGTACTGCCCAGTCATTGGAGACCGGTGGTAATGCCATTCTTTCCATCTGAAACTTGGACACGAACTCCCTTAACATCTTGTCGTTCCTTTATTTTATTTTGAAGACATCCGATTTTCTTGTGGCCACCTTTATGGCCCCGACGTGTGCTTTCACAAAGGCATTTGCTAACATAGCAAACGAGTCAATAGAGTTAGGAGCTAAGTTGTGATACCAAATCATAGCTCCTTTCGACAACGTTTCTCCAAACTGTTTTAACAAGACTGATTCGACCTCATCGTCATTCAAATCATATCCTTTGATTCCGCAAGTGTATGAAGTGGTATGCTCGTTGGGGTCGGTTGTTCCATTATATTTGGGTATATCGGGAAGGCAAAAATTTTTGGGAATGGGCATCGGAGCCGCACTCTGAGGGAATGGTTTTTGTATAAATTTTTTGGCATCTAATCCTTTCAAAACTGGAGGTTCCCCCGGTATCTGGTCTACACGGGAGTTATAAGTTTCCACCATCTTATCATTGTCTTCAATTTTCTTTTCTCCAGACTCGATCCTCTTAGTGAGATCCTCGAGCATCTTCATAATCGTGGGGTCAGTCCCCGAGCCGTTATCATTTGACCTTTCTGGCGTCGGCTCAGCACGTTGATTGTTTTCATGTTCAGCTATGCTCGGAGTTTTTTTTTGACTTTGAAGTTGAGCGATGGCGATTTGCTGAGTCTGTAGCATCTCGAATATCACTTGGAGGCTGACTCCCCCATCTCCGACTCCTGGTGTTCCTTGGTCTCCTGGTCGGGCTTCTCTGTGTGCATTCCTTGCGGGGTCTATGCCTGAATCCACGTTTAGAGCATTATGTGAGTTGATATCAACTGGCTCCATATTTGGCACTTCCTTAGGGTTTATTGGTAGTACGCTGACCCCTATACTGTTGTTTTCCCCAAGACCTTTATTGTCATGAACAGGTGCGTTTTGTGTGCTAGACATGGTTAAGCCTAAGAATCAAAAAATCTTGACAACAAAAAGTGTAAAGACAACGTGTAACGAGAATCAGTAAAGAAATAATCACTATTATCTTTAGCCTCACGGGGGCGCCAAACTGTTTACCTTGAAAATATGAGTAACAATTATATTTGATTTGTGATTTTAAAGATATGTGATTTAGTTCAATATCAATTAATAATCAAGAAGTATGAAGTAGAAATGAAAGAGACAAATAAATCAAACCAATGTTACTCAGCAGCAGTGACCTCGAGGTAGGCTTGGAATAATAAGAACAATTAAGTAATAAAAGCAAAGTAAGAACAATAGAGCTAAAGGACAATGCTGATGAACAGTAGGCGAAAAAGGTAGAGAGTATATTCTTTGCTCAGTGATAAGATGATCTTACAAATGATTGGGGTTCCCTTTATATAATAGGGGAACCCCCAAATAAGGAATATTTCTATTTACAGTAGGGAATATTCTTGATACAGCTGTCTAACCGCCTAGTACGGAATCGTACAATCTTATTTCAGAATTTGCGCCATGACTTTGGGGACGTGGCAGGAATTTAGCTCGTTCTGGTACAAATCCATAACGGTACTATTTCGGGGGTCGAACACACTTAGCCCCAGTATTCCTCGCACTCCTATCTCCGAGCATCACACTCTGTCTTCGAGCTCAAGTCTGGTCAACCGGTCTCGAACTCGACCTCGCCCGGACTCGGGCCTATAAATCGGAGGCATACGATTTTGACCATATACACCATCTAAACATGTGTTTCGAAGTTACTAAAATCCAAATTATTTCAAATATTAGAATTGAACATTCACAATTGGGATACATGAAAAAGAAAAGGCAAATGAACGTTAAATCATCTCAAAAATGTAGTTTGCCATTTACTTAATGTTTACTCCTAAATTAACTAAGTTTAAAACAAAAATCGGCGTGTGATAAGTTTTACAATCATACCCCAATATGAGGATACATAGTATTATTAGAGTAAATCACCTTGTAAATAATCACAGTTGACAATTTACATGATTGCGTATCACAATACAACTAAAAAGAAATTGAAAAAGGATTAGGACTTTTTTCAATTATAGACCGCGCCAGAAACTATTACATTCGGTGAAATAGTGTATGAAATTTGTAATATATATATATATATATATGTTTTTATTTTGAGAGCGGCTATAGAGTGTCATTTTTCCAAAAAATTATGTAACAAAAGGAGAAAAGTAACCCGAAGAGAGTTAAAAAGAAGAAAAAATGTGAAAACTTCACATAAAACATACTTTAATAGCATTACAATTACTTAGCTATTAGTATTATAATAATTCTCAAACTTGAGCAGCATCTTGCCAAGGTTAATGCACTAAAAATGAAAAGTTACATTAGAAATGCCATTGGCCTCTTCAATCCAAGATAGATTGAGGGTCAATTTTCCATCTTCAGAAGACCATTCAAACTCAATTTCAGCACCATTCAAGTAACACTTGATAGGTGATACACTTGAGTAAGCCAAGAAATTCCCACCACCTTTAACTTCAACTTTTGCACTTGCATTAGCACCAATACAAGTAGCCTCCTCGTATTGCAATCCTTGTATTGTTCCTCCACTGTTGAACATATTGGTGAGTCCAATTGGAGCAAATTTAGCAATGGAACTGAGTTGTTTGATAGGTACAAAACTAAATATTTCAAAAGAAGATGGTTTTATGGCCATTGGAATTGTGTCTGAGAATGGCTTTGTCAAGAATAATTTCTCAGCTTGGTTAAGATACACAGCATATTCCTCTGCTTTGCCCATTTCAGATGCTTCTTTCAGTTGGTCCCATTCAATGTCATTCACATGGACTGACCCTGTCATTGGCTTGTAGCACCGCGAGTATCCCTTGATTCTTCTCTCCTTTGGATCCCACCCTGCTCCTTGGCAATTGAATGCACCAATGACACCTCCACACTATGGCCAAGAAGAAAACAACGCGTAAATAGGCAGGTTAGATAGGTCAAAATTCCAAATTTTATTTTATATGTTTGAGTTGCATTTTGACCCACGTAATTAGATTATATGATGGGTTTTGAATCAATAGTTTGATGGATCATTTCAAGTTCAACTTGTTGAATCAAGTCAACAAACAGATTATAACCAACCCATTTAAACTTAGTGGATTAGTAAAAGTGAGATGAATTTGCTACCTCTACTTGAAAATGATCATACAAATTGGCATGCTAAATCTAATTCACATTTTTAATTAAAATTGTTTGTTTGCATACCTTGTTGAAGTTCCAAATCTTGAGTATGGTTTTGCCATCAAATAGTGGATTCTTGAAGATGCAGTCTCTAGTTGGAAGTGCAAAATATTGGCACTTTGGAATTGTACCATCAGGGAAAACTAGCTTCTTTAAAAGATCAAAATCATGGCCACCTAAGGAATCACTCACATAAACAGGTCCCCCACATATAGCCCTGGATCCAGCATGGAATTTGGCACAAACATGATCAGATTGAAACATGTCCCAATCTGGTTGTATTATCTGACCCATCCACATGCTGTTATAAGCACAATGAATCATATGTACCCCCTGTAACCAGTATACTCCATTGGGATCACCATTTGGATCTTGGAACCAAAAATCATCCCCTGTAATAATTTTTTTATCAACCACCACAAGTATTAGCTTACATGTGTTCTGTTATATTTACACTATGAAAAGGATAGTAAAAAAATCTTACCAACTCTTCCCATTGAGATTTGCTTTGTTCCTAGGAAGAAAAAGTCATTACATTGTTGCATGCTGGATACGAGTCCTGTACCTTTGAAATTCTTTGCTAGGGATTTTGACAGCCCATTGTAATATTTCTTTGCGAGCTCAACTCGACCACCATACTCCTCACTGATATATTCAAGTGTCTGCATGAAAAATTACCAATTAAAAATTGCTTGTAAAATAAAATGAAGGCAATAAACCACTTGCTAAAACTAAATTGTAAGTGCAGAATATTGGGAGAACCTACATGAATAACATCGACTTTAACGCCTGTAATTCCCACATTAGAAAGGTAAGAATGCATTGAATCATAAAAATCATCAGCTTGATCAGGATGAACAAGTCCAATGCCATCTTCCACTATTTTGACCACTGCAAGGTCATCCATCGTCCCTTCAAGCCCCGGAGAAAGTTTACAAGGGATTATCTTGGAATTAAGGTGGGCAGTTCCAGGCCTTACACCACCCCAAGCACCACACAACGCGTGCCACACGTAAATATCATCTAGGCCTTTGAAATGTGTTCTCAAATCCTTAGTAAACGCTTTCATCCCTGTGTCCTCTGGCTTACTAAAGCCTTGGTTGTTAAATCGCAATTCATCACCATCTTGCTCGCGTACAATTAATAACTGGTCCCCACCAAACATGTCATACAGTTCTTTCTTCATTTTCTCAATCATTGTATCCAACTCTGACATGTCAGTAACAGCCACCTTGTCACGTGCCTTCTCAGCATGCTCAATCTCAATTGCCTTACAAATTAACATCTTTGGTTTCTTGTGGTCAAAAAGTGGAGGATTAGGCCCCAACAAAGATCCAGCCTTGTACTTTCTGAATTTTTCACCTTCATCTAACCTGTGGAGCCTAGCAGTCATTTGGGTCCCACCAAGAACCAAATTTTTTGCATCTTCCTGTGAATCTTGATCATCAAAATTGATACTTTGCCAACCATCATCAATAATAAGAAAGCTAGGAGAAATTCCAGCTTGGGAAAATTCATTCACTCCATGCCAAACCCCTGCTGGTTCTACAGTTAAATAAAAAGCATCCCAAGTGCACCAACCAAATTTATTAACAATTGGTGGGAGTGATTTCTCTTCTAAGAGCTTAAATGTATTTAAATAAACTCTAAGTGCAGTATAAGCCTCTTTCATCAAGTTGTAAGGATTATCAGATACATGAATATACGCGATCGCGCCAAAGGATGATTCTTTTACTTGGCTAGAACCACTTTCAGCACAAATATGGACATGACCGTTTGTGCCAGGGTGAAGTGCAGACCTGAATTTCCCTTCAATTATTGGTATAATAATGACGTAGGATTTAATCTCAGGGACATCTAATAGGAGCCATTGGGTTTCCATTTGTAAATCTGAACCAGAATTTCCCACCCACTGTGTTGACCACCAGGTCTTGAACCTGAAAATGCTGAGGAAATTTCTGTCACTGAATTTTCCCAATGAATTCATCAAACGGTGAGATGGCTCCTCTTTTCTGAATCCTAAGAAACCGCCATTGAAAGATGTTGAATGCGCACGATGGAACAGGGGAAGTGGAGCATCGGATGTTCGGCAAACTGAAGAGAAGGTAGAAAAACTGACGTTGTTGGGAACTTCAAAGAGTAATGGAACGTTTTTGGCCAAGAGTTTGCCATCAGATAATTCAAAATAGCTATGGGTTTTCATGAGGACGTTGAAAATTGAATGAATTGGATCATTTGGGGGTGCCATGACAGGGGAAATAAAACAGAGGGCAGAAATGAGAAGAGAAGTTGCGCCAGTTGGTTCAAAAAAGAAGCTTTTTCTATTGCTAGCTTTTAGAATGAAGAAGAGAGAACAAACTATAACGCACGTACAGCAAAGGAATCAGAATTAAGGGACAAATTCTTCTATGGTTTCTGTTAAAAAAAAAAAAAAAAAGTGTAAGAAGCTAAAGAGTAGCTCAGAGTTGTTTGTGTCTAAAGAAAAGAAAGAAGGTGAATGAATGTATATCAAGAGTTGAGAGTTGAATGCATAGGAAGCAGAGAGCGAAGATATATATAGAGGGAAGTTCATGTGTGTTGAGCAATGGGACCTTACCTGGAATTGCTCCGCAATTAATGTGTCCTTATTTACTTCAAATAAAAGTTCAACTTTTTTCTTATGTCCATAAGCAGAGAGGATGTAAATATCTTGAAGAATTTCAAATTTGTTTTTAATATAAAACGGGGGACTAACCATTTTAAATTCAGGCTGGACACAATTTTAATCTAGAACTACAATAGAAGATAAGACATGGAAAATAATGTAGGAAATAAGACTATTGTCTATTGATTTGGAACATTAAGAGTATATTTTAAAAACGAAAGTGCTCCAGTAGACGGCATTAAATTATTTAACTGAAGTAATGAAAACTACAATAAAATATTGGAAGGTGGATAAATGTTAAGACATTTAAAAAAGAGAAGGTTTTGTTTAGTAAATAAACAAGAGACGGTTGAGAAATGAGGATACTGGAAGGTTCACGGCGACCTACTTTTTTCTTTTTTTGGTAATAAACTTTACTAATAATAAAGTTGAGCATTTAATCAACTTTGACTTTACTCTAAAACAGTTCGGAACTAATTAATACGTAATAAAATAGAGAAATTAAAGAAATAATTAACATGTAATAAAGTAGCGAATATTAAACAATTACTAACTAGAACTCTTTATTCTCTTGTGTTTCTTTTCTCTTTTTCTTCCATATCAGCCGGAAAAGTATTGCTTGCTCAATTTAAAGAGCGCAATTTGCATTATTCAAATGCTGCAGCTCCTTAAACTTCTTTAAAATTCGATATGTTAGCTATATATGCTTACTATTGACAAATGACAGCTATATATGCTTACTATTGACTTGGGAGATATCGTTTTAAAATTAGTGCTGGTAAAGTGAGAAAGTTCTTGAATCTTTGAAAGATTCTAGGGGGCCTTTATATTTCCATGTACCCCATTAATTAACAAAGCACTAGGTATCCCGTTATATACTAAAAGAAAGATACTTCTTTCGTTTTAAATTGTTTGAATCGTTTCAAAGTATGAGAGTTAAACAAACTACTTCATCCGTCTCAAATTATCTGTCGTATTGCTTTTTTACATGTCTCTTAAGAATTATTAATTAGAAGGAATTTTAGACTATTTTATTAAAAATATTTTTTTTTAAACATGGTCAAGAAATTATTCGTTTTGAAATAGAGAGTATATTTATCTAGTGATATATTAGCTTAAATAGATTACATTCTGAAATGTTGCAGCTTGCAAACTGGGGAGAAAGCTACGACTAAATTTCCTAAATTTGTTTGTTTTAAAATTTTAATCATACTGTCATCTCCTAGAAATTCTTTCGTGCAATCGAATTTCTTTTTACAATAGTAACAGGATAACAAGGAAGTCACCTGCATGGGTGGCTCGACTATAAAGCAATCCCTTTGGGCCCCAACTTTTTGGAGGCCCCATTTTTTCTTAAAGATGTATTATATATGTATTATTAAAAAATATGTGTACATTTAAATTTAAAAAGAACTTTTAAAGCGAAAGTACAATAAGTTTAATGTGAGGATCATTGTAATAATTAGAGAATGGAATATTTTTTAATGAATCGTTTCCTTACATGGGTATGTAAGATAATTAATTCGTAGTCATAGCAGAGATTAAGACGCAATTACACAATCAATCTAGAGTTAGAGTCTAAGGAAGCGTACCGTTAAACTCCATGGTTCAGCAGCGACAGCAAACGGCGATCAAGCCTGAGACCAACTTCCACGATCCACTAGCTACGCGCTCTCACAGCCCGGAGAACTTGACTGAGAGGCAGAATACGCTAGGGTTTTCTAATGGGATTTTTATCTAGAATACGCTAGGGTTTTCTAATGGGATTTTTATCTAGTTATACTATATTAAAAACTTATTTACCTATGTTCTCTATGTTTTGTAATTTTTAATAAATTTCTAGGTTTTTCTTGCAAATTGTATATATTACTCCTTAAAAGGCTCTCACCCCATTATTAGTGTCTTCAATTAAGGGATTCAATTACATCCTTTCCTTTTTTCCTCTTTTCTCTTCTCTCTCCTTTTTCTTACATCTCCCTTAATCTACACCAAGAATCTTCTCTCTTCCCAGCATTGCCGATAGGTTTATATTATTAAAAAATATTCAGAAATTGTATGATAAATGTATCATAATTGTATTAGATACATCAATGCCTAATACATAATTGTATCATACTTGTATTACAATTGTATCTAACTTGTATCTAGTACATTAATACCTACAATAATACCTGATACAATACTAATAAATTAATATACAATTATCATACTTGTGATACAAACTGTGAAATTCGTCACGAACTCACAACNTTTGTAAGACAATTCCTGCAACCATTATGATACATATCCCATTATCGATACATTAATTTTTAAAATTTGTGATACAATTATGATCTTCATCTTCTTCAAGTTTCAATCACAACTCTACACTAAAAATCTAATATAATCGTATTAAAATTGTATTAGTATTATATCGAGTATTCTTTTGGGTATTGATGGATCATATACAAGTCACATACAATAAAAAAAATTAGGAAAAAAGAAAACAAGATTCAAAACATACCAAGAACTTGATTCCATAGCAATATTTCAAATTTCGTCTACATTGTATTAATAAGAAATAGAGATTTTGGGTGATTAGTAAGAAAGAGAGAAATTAAGTTTGAAAACCTTTGGAAAAGAAAAAGAATTGAAAATGCAGGGGGGGGGACAAAAATAAAAGAGAGATTTTCGGTGATTATTNATAAAAATAAAAGAGGGATTTTGGCTGATTATTAAGAAAGAGAGAAAAAAGGAACATAATCTTAAATGTAGGGGAGTTATTGTAAATGGGTTGTAACTGACAAGCTAAAATTAAGGAATCTTGAATTTTTTTCTTTTTAATAGTTTTGTATATAACTTGTAAATATAGATATACAAAGTAATTAATAAGGAACCTAAATAAATGTGGTAAATAGGTTTTTACTATAGTATAGCTAGGTAAAAATCCCTTTTCTAATAGCTAGGGAAATGGGGGTTGGCCTCTATTTATAAAGAGTGTCTACCCATCACAGGCCAATAGTTATTGGGCCTCACTTATCCACACACACAATATTTAATATTAGGTCATTTATTTATCCACCACTTGGGCCACGTCACTATCCTTTCAGGCTATAACCAATTAACGTAAGTCCAAATTCCAACATTCTCCCACTTGGACGCCAACGTTAATTGAGGACAAGAAAATAATTTTAAAAGTTTTGAGTTATAAGAAAATCATTTTGAAAAAGGATTTTAGACTCTACAGTGGCCACACTACTCACAAGCCTGGGATAGAATGACCCATATAACACTCCATCCAGTTTCAATAGAGAAGACTAACAATGAATCGTAGCAGGCATCACACTATTTTAAGGTATGAATTCTATCTACGACCACATATGCTAGAATTTCCATCAACATGGATCAAACATGTGTGCTAAGCATATTATCTTTCTAATCAAGGTGAATAGAGCCACACCTCTTAGAAAGAAATAATCCTCCAAGTGATATAGTAACCATATCACCTCAGGAGCTTTCAAATTAAATGACACTAAAATCATATCACCTTAGGAGGTTTCCCTTGTGTTACCCGGGATAATCAAGGCAACAAGCAGCAAAACTCAAAGATATCATGAGTTTATGCAATATCCAAGTGAAAATAAAAAATAAATAAATTATCATGTTAGTCAATAAGCATAACAAATAAAATAACACAAGCTTGCATAAAATTAGAATTTATTAAAAGCAGTATCTCAGTCAGCAGTCATAAAATAACTCCCCACTGACTAAAGCACATCAAAAGACTCTAAAATACCCATGTTTTTAGCATGTTCATTAAACACTACAGGCCTAAGACCTTTAGTCAAAGGATCAGCCAACATAGATTCTGTGCTAATATGCTCAATACGTATATCACCTTCTTTTACCATGTCTCTAACCTTAAGAAACTTAAGGCTAACATGCTTAGAGCCTCTTGTTCTCTTGTTATTCTTAGAGAAGAACACACCTGCATTGTTATCACAGAAAATAGTCACCCGCTTAGATATAAAATTCACAATTTGTAATTTAGTAAGAAAATTCTTCATCCAGACAGCATGCGAAGCGGTCTCAAAACAAGCAATAAACTCAGCTTCCATTATAGATGTAGCAGTGATGCTCTGTTTCTCACTTTTCCAAGAAATAGCACCTCCACCCAACATAAAAATATACCCATAGTTGATTTCATAGTGTCTTGACAACCTGCAAAATCAGAATCTGAATATTCAAGAAGATCCAGATCATCAATCTTTTTGTATACGAGCATGAAGTCTTTGGTGCGTTGTAGATATCTCATCACTTTCTTTGCAGCCAACCAATGTGCCCGCCCAGGATTAGAAGAAAATCTTCCCAACATGTTAATAATAAATGCAATATCAGGCCTTGTACAAAACTGTATGTACATCAAACAACCAATAACACTTGCATATGGCACATCTTTCATGGTTCTCATTTCAACTTCATTTTTTGGACATTGGTCTTACTAAGTTTATCCCCTTTTACAACAGGTGCAACACCAGGTCTACAGTCTTGCATATTGAAAGTTTTAAGAACACTCTCAATATAGGAACGTTGTGATAAACCCAATAAACCACGTGACTTGTCTCTTTTAATTTCTATCCCAAGAACAAAAGAGGCTTCACCAAGATCTTTCATATCAAAAGACCTAGAGAAAAATTGTTTGGTCTCATTCATCAAGCCCAAATCATTTGTGGCAAGCAGAATATCATCAACATAGAGAACCATAATAATGAAACTACTATTAGCTATTTTAAGATAAACACATTCATCAAGCTTATTTTCCACAAATCCAAATTTTGTAATAATTTCATCAAATTTCATGTACCACTGCCTGGAGGCTTGTTTAAGCCCATATATGGATTTGTTAAGCTTGCACACTAGATGTTCTTTACCGGCTTCTTCAAACCCTTCAGGTTGAACCATGTAAACTTCTTCAAGTAGACTCCCATTCAGGAAAGCAGTTTTAACATCCATC